TTATTTACAATAATAATGTGTAAATGTTTTATATGGTAATATAATGCATGTATTTTATTATTATTAATATAAATAATACATTACTTGAAATAGTAGTAGTAGTAATATTTTTATTATTATTTACTTTATTATTATTATGTATATACGTTTTAATAATAATTATAATGTAATAATAATAAAAAGGATTATTATTAATAATACATTTATATAGACTGAAGTTTGCAAGTTATTTGAAAGAGACGATTGGTCAAGATGTGGAATATCAAATTAATTGAAGTAATCATCAACATATTCAGACAAACCTAAATAACAGTACTGAGTGATATCGTATGATATTTAACAGCCTGCTCGCTGAGCTCCACACAGGCTGATCAGCGCTGGTTCTCCAGCTGTGCTCCGTGTAAAACCCTTGCTTCTTTTAACAGCGTCTCCCATCAGAGGAGCCTTTCATGCAGTCTTAATGATTTAGTCGGACCGGCTCAGTGTGCTTTTGTCATTTGACAGTGAAAAGCTTCTGGAAATAGATCGTGGTTAAAGGCTCACCCCTCTGTTTGATCTATAATGTGAACGCCATCCAGAAGAACAGGCTTTGCATGTAAAGGAAAACTTTGTGTGTGTGTGTACCTGTTTTTCTATTCTGGTGGGGACTTAAACCTGACTACACACAGACTCATGGGGACTCGTGTCACGGTGGGGACCTAAATTGAGGTCCCCACGGGTAAACAAGCTAATAAAACACACAGAATGAAGTTTTTTGAAAAAGCGAGAGTGAGAGTGAGTGTGAGAGTGAGAGTGAGTGTGTGAGAGAGTGAGTGAGTGTGTGTGTGAGAGTGAGTGAGTGTGTGTGTGAGAGAGTGAGTGTGTGAGAGAGTGAGTGTGTGTGTGAGAGAGTGAGTGTGTGAGAGAGTGAGTGTGTGTGTGAGAGAGTGAGTGTGTGAGAGAGTGAGTGTGTGTGTGAGAGAGTGAGTGTGTGAGTGTGAGAGTGAGAGTGAGTGTGAGAGTGAGAGTGAGTGTGTGAGAGAGTGAGTGAGTGTGTGTGTGAGAGTGAGTGTGTGTGAGAGAGTGAGTGTGTGTGTGAGAGAGTGAGTGTGTGAGTGTGAGAGTGAGTGTGTGTGAGAGTGAGTGTGTGTGTGAGAGGGTTTGTGAGAGTGAGTGTGTGTGTGAGAGAGTGTGTGTGTGAGCGAGAGTGTGAGAGTGAGTGAGTGAGTGTGAGAGTTTGTGTGTGTGCGTGCGTGCGTCCGTGCGTGTGTGTGTGTGTGGATTAGTGTGGGCTGACCCCTGCATTGCATTAGTGAAGTATTCGCTCAGACGTACCCTCATCCGGTCCCAAAACATGACCTAGTTATCCACTGGCTGGATGTCAGTTTTTTTTCTGCTATGTTTCTCTGTAGGCTGTGGAGCGGGTTTGGCACCGCTGGATGTTCAGCACAGAGCAGCCTTTAGTTTCGCGTATCTCTAGAGGACGGCAGACAGAAGAGCCTCTGAAAGCTGATGTTTTACAGCTGTGCGGGTGTTAATGACAGTCTCGCTCGGGTTACGAGGGTCACAAGACGGTCCTGGTTTACTGTTTTATAAACCCTGAGCGTTGCTTTAGATTTCACAGAATAGAATCGGGTTTGTGTGTGTGAGTATTTATCTGTGGTCATGGTTAACAAACTATTTTTTAAAAATCAGTAATTGAAATAAAGCGGAAATAGAGTGTAAATGTTACGTGTAAAACTTAAATATTAGGAAATGTTGAAGTACTGAAATGACAAACTAAAAGTGAAATAATCAATTTCTTAGTGACTAAGGTTGTTCATTATTTTTACTAAAAAAATAATGAAAAAAAGTGTTCATTATTATTACAAAAAAAATAAACATTTGTGTTGTCAACTTAGGCATCTCAGCATTTTAATATACAGTATAATAAAAGAAAAGTATTTTAGTTTAGAGTTTAAATGAATGATTTTTTTTTTTTTTTAAGATTAACTCCTTTTAACCTTTTTTAATCATGTAATACACAGTCAAAACCAAAAGACATACTTTGCATTTACATATATTCATATATATATATATATATATATATATATATAAATATAAATAAAATGTAAAATCAGTAAGTGTGAGTCTAAGCATCTCAGAGCCTATGGGATTACAGGAAGCACAGGGAGAATCACGCACACAGGCTTATGTTTTGGACACTTGAGGACGTCTGCAGTCTAATCCCACACAAACAAACGTCTCCGCCGTCATACAGAGCTTATCGTAAAGCCTCTGAAAAACATGATGCGGTGTTAATGATATGGCCGGTTAAGCCTGATGTTTTGAGCATCAGTGTTACTGTTGCTCATAATTCGAGATGTTGAGGGATTGGGATTTGAGGAAAGGTGTGCTGATATTATGGGATTTTCTTCACATTAGTTATTAGTGTTGTCCCAGTACCAAAACTTCAGTTGTCTCTACCAATGCCAGTAAAACTACCATTATAATCAAAAATGTATCTGTCTGTACTGCACAGTACACAGTGTTTATATATTGGTTATAGTGAAATGATTCAACAACTCTGGCGCATTGAGCGGATTCGGACTGGAAAAAAATACCAAATATTGTGTTCAGACACTCAACAAACATCTGTGATTGGTTACTATGCTCGAAGCTGCAAAAACACGTAAATAGAAACCTCACACAAATACAGGAGCCTTTGAAAGCAGCCGCCTGACAGCGGGTTCTGGAAGTACTTTTTCCATTCATTTTTTTGGAAAAAATAAATAAAAGCGTCTTTGTTAAAGCATTATAATCCATGAACCAAACCAGCCAGCTACAAGGAGAATCACAACAGTGCAGACTCTGACTCAAGCAAAAATAAAAAATAAACATTTCGAAATCAGACAAAAAGACAAAGATACACGACTGTGTACTTAACGGCTTTAGTGAAGAACTACAATCCCATGAACCATTGCAAAGGACATAATAATAATGCAGATATTTAAAACTGTCATTTAAAGTGGTTGATTGTGTATATATAGAAACAATATATAGGAGTATTCTCCTTCATAGGAGTGGGCAGAGCTTGGCACTCATTTCTGCAGCTCTCTGATTGGTGGAATTCTCTCTAGAGCATCATGGGAAATGTAGTTTTTCACCAGGGATTTCGCTGTTAAGCATAAGTCGAAATAATGCAAACTGATGGATTCAACTAAAGCATATACCATCAGTTAACCTCAGAGCTCACAGTAAGTCTGTCTTAAAAGGGTTATCAGTTGTGAAAATGAATGGCATTTTTACTCCCGGAACCGACTGGGCATTGAAGGAGGGATCGGTATATTATAGAGATCTGAGACTGAAGCTGTCAAAACAACATGGCATCCAACTCAGTGTGTTTTATTATCTTATTGTGTCCTTGAAAGCCAGACTTTAGAGCATCCTCACATCAACTCCACACACACACACACACACACACACACACACACCCAGCTCTGGCCTGAGGCCGCTGTCTTTCCCTGTCTGTGTCTATTCGAGTTCATCACGCTGTCTGATCAGGAACGCAGGACATTGGGAATCGCCTGCCAGCATGCAGTGTGTTTTATTATCTTATTGTGTCCTTGAAAGCCAGACTTTAGAGCATCCTCACATCAACTCCACACACACACACACACACACACACACACACTCTGGCCTGAGGCTTCTGTCTTTCCCTGTGTGTCTCTAATCGAGTTCATCATGTTGGCATTGTCTGCCAACATGTGAAAGGGAGCATGCTGAGGACATGAGCCACTACCTGTGCTGACATTAAATCAAGCTTAACGCGTTGGATTAGGGTTTTTTTCAGCCTGTGGGACGTTTAAAAAACTGTTTAATTTGCTATTCTATGGACATTTGAGGAGCAAAGCAGAAAGCATGTATGGATCAGACTTTAGATGTAGTTTATTATATTTAGATATTGCTCGTTGATCAAAATAACAAGCTTAGTGTTTATTTTGCTTGCAGGCATGTCCAGAGAGAGAGAGAGAGAGAGAGAGAGAGAGAGAGAGAGATCATTGTTCTGAATGTGCTGTAGTTGAAATTACATGGTTGTAGAAAAGAGAGAGAGAGAATTCATTGTTCTGAATGTGCTGTAGTTGAAATTACATGGTTGTAGAAAAGAGAGAGAGAGAATTCATTGTTCTGAATGTGCTGTAGTTGAAATTACATGGTTGTAGAAACATTTTTAGAAATGTTATTTGCTCTGCCCTTTGCCTTGTTGTTTCGGGGTAAACCAGCTCCTCTGTGTTTAAAATCACATCCAGCACTGGCCGGGAACATGATGATCACTTCTGATTAAACAGCTGATCTTCCATTTGCTGTCATTAGAACTCAGGATAAACACAATACTGAAACGGTTTGGTGAACTGAAAAGCTTGCGTATTTAGAAGAAAAACAGGTTGTGTAAAAGGGAAAATTAGCATTTTTTTTAAAGACTGATGCAATAAAATATCTCATTTACTTTCCCTTGTTGTTCCAAGCCTGTATTTCTTGCTTTCCTCTGATATGATATTTTGAAGAATCAAAAATTGTAATAATAATATAATAAAAATAATAATTATAGTAATAAAAATAAATAAATGAAAAGTTTAGAAAAATTTGTGTTAAAGATTTGTTTTATGTTTTTGAAACAAGTCTCTTCTGCTCACCAAGGCTGCATTTATTTGAAATAGAAATCTGCTGTAACATTATAAATGTCTTTACTGTCACTTTTGATCAATTTAATGCGTCCTTGATGAATAAAAGTATTAATTTAATGATATCTTTCTAACCCCAAATGGACTTGGGGATGTAACTCGAGAACTCGAGTCAGAATCTGAATAATCACTATTAACTAAAGTTACATGGAAAAGAGCTGCGTGAAGATTCTTCAAAATCTCTCCTTTTACGTTTCACATAAAAATATCACAGTGAGTAAGTAGTGACATTTTGGGTGAGCCATTTCTTGAACGTTTATGTTTTAAGACGAATGTATGTTTATTTCTCTGCATGTCCAGTGCTGCCGGAGGGGAGATTTTTAACCAGTGTGTGGCAGACAGAGACGAGGCCTTCAAAGAGGAAGACGTGAAGAGACTGATGAAGCAGATCCTGGAGGGAGTTTCCTTCCTTCACGGGAACAACGTGGTGCATCTGGACCTCAAAGTACGTCAGGATAAAGCGCCAGTCACACTTGCTTGATACTGCAATGCTGAAAATCAAATAAAAGTCTTTAAAGGCGTGAGGGCGGTGTTTGATGGACTGGACATTTGTGTGGGCTGAATACATATGTGACCCTGGAGCACAAAAGCAGTGTTAAGTCGCTGGCTTTATTCACCAGAGCTACAAGTGTGTGATTTATAGTAGCAGAATTACAAACATATAATTATATCCCCGTCATGATTATAGGTTTCTGTGAGCAGTATTCTTTATTGTTTGGCAGTTTTACTGAGAGTGTTTTCTCCTTCAGCCTCAGAATATCCTCCTGACCAGCGAGTCTCCTCTCGGGGATATAAAGGTGGTGGACTTCGGTCTGTCGAGGCTGGTGAGCAGCAGTCAGGAGATCAGGGAGATCATGGGCACTCCGGAGTACGTGGGTAAGAGCCAATCCAGACCAGATTCAGACATCATATACAGGGCCTAAAAATAACATTATGACACACCTGCCGATGGCTGGGGACTAGAAAATGTTTAGTGGCTATAAACATGTTTTACCGAAACAAGAAACTGTATATGCATTATTTAATTAAAAAGAAACGTATTATTGATTGAAGAAATATCAGTATAATACCATTGAACTGTATACAAAAATAAAAGCTGTATGGGTTAATGTTTGAAAGCAAATATGTAATTGTACTGTTGATATTTATTTATTTATTTAAAACATTAAACCATAGAGCTTTTATTTTGGTTGAAAACAGCAGGGAAACAGGTTTGTTTGTTTGTTTATTTACTGTATCAATTAAAAAATAATAAGGAATCAATAAGAAAATGTAACTAAAATATTTTTGTAAAGTGTACATGTAAAGTGTTTCATAATAAATTAAATGTATATTATTATTATTATTATTAATTATAATGCTAATATCAGGGCTTAAAGTTCTCCGGCACTGTGAGAGCTTTGTAAACAGCTCAGAGTAATCACGCCATCTCCATAAGAACGATATGATTGCCAGAACAAATTTACCGGGATTTTTGAAAAGGTCCTGTTCACACATGATCTATTAATGGTAACTTACCGGTAATTTACCAGTACTGTATGTGTGAAAGGGGCTAAACGCTTCCTCCGCATATGCTGTGAATTTGAATTGCTTAACGTTCATCTGGAAAAACAGTGTGCATTATCTCACTAGATTTGTAACGTAAATCATTTATAAACCTTTGCCAACACAGGAGAATACATCAATCAATGTCTAAATATGCCATTTATTGTACATCTCGATTTCAAAATAAAAGTTTCTGCATGTGGCCAAATATTA